TCAGCTTAAAATCAATACAGAATGTATAAAAAGTGAGAATATATAAAATATCAAAAAAGCAACAACTTTTTTTTAAAATTATCATTGTAATCGATTAATATATAATCGATTTTAGGCTGTGAATGTGACCAATATTTAGCTGGTTATCGGTATATGTGTGGAGGACGATCACCGTAAAAGACTCTGCGTGAATCACTGTCAATACTGTCTTGCGAAATCTGCATATTTATAACAGGAGACATATTATGAATTTGCGAAGGATTGTGTGTTTCAGTTGGATAGCCAGGCGGAGGTGAATTGAAGAACCTGTGGTTAGGGTTCTGATAAGAAACGGAGAGTAGTGGCGGATTATCTATATATCTTTGATTATCATAAGTATTATAAAATGCATGGTTTGAATTTGAATTGAAAATTGCATTATTAGGATTCCCGTAAGAATTTGGATGCAGTGAACTATGAATAGGATTATCGAAGTATCTTTGTTGATCATAATTATTATAAGACGCATGGTACGAAGGGGAATTGGAAACTGCATAGTTAGATTTCTCATACGGATTTGGGAGCAGTGCACTAGGACTACCAATGAATCTATTTTGAGCATGATAAGATTCACTGTTTGAATTCCAATGGAATTCCGAATCTTCTTGATTGCTGTATGAAGAATGATGTGCTCCAAACACAAAATAGTCTTTGGAACGATTTCTAGGCTCGACAGGTGGTTCTGTATTAGAATTTAGGTTTTCCACAGGTTTTTTCCACTGTCGAATACGATTACTGCGTTCTTTACGATCCAGTCTCTTAAGATAAGAATGGTGAGAGTCTTGAAAATTGTCATATTTTTCCCTAAGAGGTTTTCTCCTTTTCTTACAATACCTTCGAGGTGTAGTGAAAGTTTCTGCTCTCTTTTTGTTTTTCTCCGTCTGTTTATCATTTGTACTTTTTGCAAGATCATTAGGCTTGACTAAAACAGATGATACCTAAAAATTATAAGAAAAACATAACTGCTTCAAGAAAAATAGTAATACTAAACGTAAATTAAACTAGGTTAATAAGAGACAAAATAATGGCACATAACCTGAAACACATTTTGAAAAATACTAGTGATTTATATCAATGAAATGAGGTTTATGCATGTTTCATAGAAATATTTATATTAATATGTTTATTAAATATGTTACAACATTTACCTTCATTACAAAAACCCACTAGGAAACCATTGCACTTTACTGTGAATAACGTTATTTTTTTCCCCTAACAAAATATTATTTTAGCATTATAGCTCCACAGAAAACAAAAGGTGTTGCTAAAACTTTACACCTCTATCCGTTCGACTAACTTCTTCCTCCCGCTGAACAAGATCCTCATTGCACAAGCTTTAAGTAATCAAGCTTAAAGTAATCGAACATTGCACATTGCAAAATTTAATGTGCCATTGAGAAGTGTAAAATCTCTCTATTAATCTGCGTAAACTATGTTAAATGGTTTTGCGCTTTAAATATGTAAAGATCATTTTAAGAAACTTAGTACAAATAGAAATGATTTTTTTGTAATCGTCGTTGAACAGCCAATCCAATTTTTCGATTTACGATTGCCGATGTTAGACTCCGTATCCTTGTAATCTTGAACTCAATCCAGAAGACAAGGGAGATCCTGGATCATTGGGAGAAATTTGCTTTCTTGGAGGACTTTTTGATGAAACCATCCCGCATTTGCGTTACATGGAGAGGTAAACCACGGAAACCTCGCACGGTTAACCTGACGGCAAGGGGACACTCACCTAAATCCGCCTACCACTGAGGATATTTTACGTAGGAACTGTGGTCGGTGCGAGCCGGGTGCGGAATTCCTATCGTCCGGGTTGAGATTCGAACCTGGTTCACCTCATTGGAAGGCGAACGCTGAGCCACCATAGCTCTTCTTATAGAAATTATTGACAAAATTTATGAATAAATTATAGCAATTTAAATTTTTAAAAAAAGATACCATTCAAAAGTTATTTTGTTATACAGGGTGACTCTAAAATATATGTCAAAAATGTAAAGGTAGGTAGAGGGGACATGAATAAGCATATTTCGGATAGGAATGTGTGTGCAGTAAAGCACTAGCTGGTAAAGCAGAATGAATCAAAGGAAACTGAAAAGACAAATAAAGACATAAGAAAATTCAATTCTCTACCGGCTTAGGCGGCATTACCTCACACACAATCCTATACGAAATATGCTTATTTAGGTCCCCTCTACCTACCTTTACATTTTTGACATATATTTTAGGACCACCCTGTATATTGCCTATTTGTTGAAATCTAGGAAATTGCGTCAATAAATTTATCATACAGTTATAACGAATTTGTAATTTAGAAATGAAGTCATACGAGGGTTGCTATTTATATTTCTGACCTAATAATGAAAAAACAAATATGTAGGATCGGAATTGGTTTTATTGTTTTTCAAAATATTCTCCATACACTTTTGCATGCGTTTGAACCAATTTTCAAAGCACTTTTTCCAGTCCGATTTTTGATGTGTGGGAATAAGAAGAAGTCATTGGGTGCCAAATCAGGGCTGTACGGCGGATGACCCATCAGTTCGATCTTTCGCTCCGTCAGAAATGCCTTTGTTTGAGTCGATGTGTGAGAGCTCGCTTGCTCATGATGAAGAATGATTCGCCTGTTCTTCTGCTTTTTTTGAATTTCTCCGATGACTTCTGGCAAACAAATGGTCGTGTACCATTCTGAATTGACCGTCCTGCGTTTCTCTAACGCCACTGTTGCCGCATGACCGTTAATGCCGAAGAAACAGGCAATCATTTGTTTCGATGTGCTTCTTCCTCGAACAACTTTTGTTGGTTTTGCCTCGTCTTGGAAGACCCATACAGTTGATTGCTGTTTTGTTTCCGGCTCATATGCATAGATCCATGATTCGTCACCTGTGTAGATGTTATACACAGCCTTTGATGTACCTTGAACGTATTTTTCCAACATTTCCTTGCACCAATCGACACGAGCCTTTTTTTGAGCGTTTGTCAGATTATGCGGGATCCAACGCGAACAAATTTCTTTTACGCTCAAATGTTCATGCAATATTTTATTCATGCTAGTCATGTCCAAAGACGCCTCTATCTCACGGTATGTCACATGACGATCTTGCTTTATCAGTTCACGCACAGCATCGATCTTTTCTGGCACAACAACGGATTTTGAACGATCTGCACGGGATTCGTCCTGGATCGAACATCGACCACGATTAAATTCGTTATACCAATTTTTTACTCGAAAGTTATGAAGAATAATGGCGCAAAAATGTTCACGATTCAATTCCATTTTTTGAAAGAGAAAAACTTTTCAATTTACTGTCAACAACACAAATGAAGCTATAATGGTAAATCGTCTGCTGAATTTATNCTCTTTCAATTCTAGCCCTCACATGCATGTCAAATTCAGTTCTTTTATTTTTTCAAAAGATAGGGAAAAATACTTTTTATTTACGATCTTGAAAGATGAGATATTGCACATGTACAATACAAATTTTCGTGCGCGTTATACGAAGAGTATATCTTAAAATTTAAAAAAGTAATTAGAAATTACGGGTGCGCGTTATACGCCGGGGCGCGTTATGCGCCGGAATATACGGTACTTTTGAATTATGAAAGGTACATTTTTTTACCAAATACACGGTAGGTCCCACGCCTACTTACTGCATTCACCAATCCTTGAAGAAATATTAGGATTAAAAATTAAACAACCCCCCCCCCCGCCTCCGGAAACCTCAGGGAAATGTGGCAGGAAAGATAAAATAATCTTTAAGGTTAAAAGACAGAATAAACAGAAATATTTATTAGATGCATAAATAGTGTTCTGAATTAACTCGGTTCATGATGTTACAAATATAACTTCGAAGTTAACATCATCATCATACAATATGCAGGTCAGAATGCGAGGCATACATACAACTATGTATGCCTCACATTCCGCGAATTTCTTCGAGTGTTGCAACAGCTCAGGAGCAGGGATCGCAGAACCAAGGGGGCTTTAGCCCCCTCATAATTGTTAATTAAAGGACACAGCCCTTTTTAGGATTAAAATTTTTCGCTCAATTTTTGTTAAATTAAATTTACAATAAAAAAATGCCGAATTTTTTGCGTCTGAAAAAATTCTAAAAAAAAATAGTGGTATAAAAATTTTTTTCTATTTCAAGCGAACTTTAACATTTCCTTGGTGAAAACTGCTTTCAAATCATCTCTTACTCATCCCCCCGCCACAGAGGAAATATGCTGACCGATGGGTAAAGTCTTGGTTTCAAATGTAACAGTGAACAGAATAAAAATTAAAAATAATTATAAGAAACTGTGAAACTTAATTTTAAAAAAAATACCGATAATTGAGAGATAAATAATTTATAGATAAGAAATTTCTTTTATTAATTTTATTTCAATTCGAACCAATTAAATTTTAAAATTGCAAATTCGAATTTGATTGCCATTCTGTGAGGGTCAGATAATTGGGACTCTGTTAATTCTGTATATACATTCAGGGAGGGAGAATCCCCCCCCCCACTCCACTCTTGAGATACTTCCGCGATCACTGCTCAACGAGTCCTACAACCAGATTCATTGCATACTTCACAGGCTCGTGGTACATGGTATCTGAAAGCTTCTCACAGAAAGAGATCAAACTTTGATAAATCAAATAAATGTGGGGGGCATCAGCAGCAACCACCCTGTGCTACTCCTTGCACAGAAGCATTGCAGTAATCAGTTGCCGAGCACAAACTTGCAGCGTACAATGATGATATAGCACCGTACAATGCGTACAATGATGTTTTCAGTTCTAGGTTTTATCAACCTTTTATATACATATATAATAAACCTTATGTAAAATCCCTGTCTCCTCGAGATGTTTGTCGATACATTTTTCTGATTTCCTGTATATTTTTTTTATTTAATAGGCTAAAAATAGACAACTTCTCAAGAAAATATTATTTTAAATTTATATTATAAATTACCTATGAGGAAGAGAGACATTCCACGCAATACTAATGTGAGTTAATAGCAAGTTAGTGACGTATCGAACAGCTTCAGGATACCAATGAATCCCATCAGGAGTCCTCCTATGAATTTGGAGTTTAAGATGGTAATGAGAATCCACAACATCGAATCCATGATCAACAACTACCTAGATTACATTCATTTATTTAAAAGCATTTCAGTACAAAAACATAAAATAACAAAAAATAGACTATCCAATTATGAATCAGTAGGTCTAAGTTGGTGATTATAGTAGATGAATGATTAATAAACCAAACCGTATTATTGACTGTATCTGGCTACTTGGTAAATTTGAACAGCCAATAATTCGGTCGATAAGTTCGTCAGGTCTATATCTTTATACGGTTCGAGATACTCATCTATACTATATGCTGCGTTTTGACTATTAACTTGCTATATGACAACTCTTTAAAAAGGAATATTTCTCAATGAATTCTATTTGATTTCAAATTCCGTTCCCACGAATAATCAATTTAGCAAACTTAATTATTAGAGATCGAACGAATGAACTTAACGAACTTAAATATTCAAAACAGAATTCATTATTTAGTCTCAAAAACGTGTATTTAGATTAAACATAGTGTTATTTTGAAGGGAAAAAAATAGGATTCAGATCTTAGTCACTAAAAGAGAGTTAATTTCAGTAGTATACAGTGTATCAAACCTAAGAACTTTTCTCCTCCTAGTGTCTGCTGAGATCTGAGCGGTAGTGGTGAGTCTGCTTTTATAAAAAAAAAGATAAAAAAGGGAAGCTCAATTATTTTCAATTAAAATATTTGTCTTTCAATTATAAAAAATTTCCAAATGTTTTTTAAATGAAACCATTGTATTATTTTCTAAAAATCAGTACGTAGAGAATCAGACAGAAATTAAATAAATTCTCTAACACTGTGTTTAAGTTCGTTAAGCACAGTTCGTTCTTTTAAACTATGTTTAGTGTTAATCAAAAATTTAACCTAATGAATTATAGATTTAAAACGGACCTCAATGCAAAGTGGTTTTAAAGCCGTAGTTCATAAAATTAAAAAAAGTTTTTTACATAAAGCAATTTTTTAAAATGATGGAAAAGGAAACTTCACTAACTTTTCTAGCATAATGATTAGCTTCCACAACATGAAAGCGTATAGAATATTTCAAAAATTCAATTTCTTTCACTAGGAAACCTCCATTTGGATCACATGCAATGGGTGGAGCTGTAACCCAAATAACTAAACAATCAGGCATTCGTTCTTTCAAGTCTTTCATCAGACGAACCAAATTCTTTTTGTAAAGTTCAACGCCATTTGGTCCCCATCTATAAATATAATAAATTTCATTATTATTTTCAAAACGCTACAAGTTGTCTACTAGAAGTTATATTTTATACTATATTAAAGTATGTATGTAGCACTAATTGAGTATTTATAAGACAACTAAATAAGGAGTTTTTAAGGTCTACCTATAAAACTTTTTAAAATTGCTTTTGGAAATTTTCAACAAATTCGAATTATCTGTGAACAGGACGTACTGTAATCACTGCTCTTAATTTATATTATTTCAATTCTTCAATAAAAGTCTACGCGTTGGGGTCAAAAATCAATAAATAACTATTAAAATCTAGCGACAAATCACTATCAAGGAAGACGGGAATAAAAATACAAAACCTATTAGATTATCAGGTGAATTCAGAGGTTCGGACCATTCTGATAATCGTATCTTGAGGACCATTCTGATAATCGTATTTCAAATATTGTATTTTTGGACAATGAAACAGATAGTGATGTTCTTAAATAAGCTTTTCTCAATGGTTATTCATCAGATTTTGATTTGTTTTTTCCTAGTTTTGATATTCATGAGCACATGTTTTTTGATTTCACCTTCCATAAGTATTCTAAAAATATATAAAGGCTGCGATTATGGAACGCTTCAAATTTTTCTAAAAAATAAAAAGAGGAACAAACAGTTTTTATTTATTATTTACATTTTTTTCAATGAATTGTACTTGAATTTTAAGCGTATTATTAGGAATTATTAATAAAATATAATCCAGAGAGTGTACTACGCTATATCATCTCAGAGTATACCCATTTTGATATTAAACGTTAATAAAGCTTAGTACCTTACTTTGAAAAAAAAGTGGCGCTATAAGCAGTCATAAAAAGAATTGAAGTATCCAGAGGTATAAGGTGGTCTAATATATAGTAATCAAATCCAATAATCGATTTTTCTCTGAGATAAATTTTATATCTACGCGTTGGAAGCTGCAAGAAACTCTAACACAATATAAACTCAACGTACTTTCAGAAAATATGTTTTTATTGTTATTACAGAAATTAATGTAGCCTGATATTTAGAAAATATGGCAGTTAAAGCAACACAATTTTGAAATTAATTTTTATTTGTCACAAAACAAATAAAACGATATTACTCATTATTTATTAAGAAAAATTAGTTCTTTACCTCCATAACGGCCCATGCTATATAATATATATTGATCTAAAATAATTAACAAAAAAAAATTCTAATTTAACCTGAAAATAACTTAAAAATCAATCAATTTTTAATTCATTATCAGGTTGTTAACAAAGTAAAATTTATGTAGTTAACAAAATAAAATTTATGTCCTTTAACGATCCTATCAGTATTGATAACCGCTGGAGCATTAACCACATAACTTGTCAATTTAACCCAAGCTACAGCGGGCAAAGTAGACAAGGTTTTAAATTTATGTTAAAGAAACAGGATAAATAAGTCAAATCTAAAGAATTCTATAAATCACTTTTACCGCACATTGTTGGAACCTTGGGCATCATAGTTTTGGTAAAGCCAAAATTCTTTCCGCTACCATCAGCTCCTCTTGATGCTATGAAATCGTGTTTCATTCATATGAATGCAGATACCTTAGTTAATGACATGAGTTTCTCGCACATCCTTCATAGCGCTTGGAAATGCATTCTGCATTGATTAACCTTCTTCTGCTAACATGGTTTCTTCAGTTTTGCTTCCTACCCACATTTTTCCGTTGACAACTTTACATTTCCTTTTGTTTTCCTCTTTCACGTTTGGTGAGTCTTGAAATTGAGGGCCAGTTTTCGAGCGTTTGTAAGAGGCGTCTATTCTCATGACCTTCATAATTTTTTAAATTTTTGCAATTTTAACTTAAATTAGTGCTACTATATTACTGAACATTCAACAACGAAGAATTTATGTCAAACAAAGTAAATTAGCTTAGGGGAAATACTTTTAAATTTTCACTAAAATATAAATAAGAGATAAAACATTTTCAATCTTTGTAAAGATGTTACAGTAATCTCTCAAATTCTTAAAACTGGCAAAAATTAGAAGCTAATTTAACAGCCTAAGTTATTTCACAGGTTTGAGAGTTTAACTTTATGCTTCTTTGCATGCAAACGAAAAATCACAATTCTTCTTGGAAAAGCAAAATGCAAAAAAAAAAAAAAAACACTTTTTTTGTTTATTTATTAACTTACCTTGTCACATCCCATAGGCAACTATTGAGTAACACTACATCAGGCATATTCTGTGGATCCTTTGACAAATCATTCAGAATTTTTTTGACGTATTTATCGTAAACTCGAGTCAGGAAATAAAAAGAAAGTGTAGTATTTTCATGATATCTTTTTCTTTCTTCTTTATATTCCCGACCATTATATTTTAAAGTTCCAGACACCAATCTATCACCAAAACAGGAAGTTTCTCCCTAAAATATATATTAGAAATAAAATGTATGTTAGAAATGATAGTTTCAGAATATTTGTCATGTAGAATCAGGGGTCTGTCCAGACATTTTGTGAAAGGTCCGTTTTTCGTGAAATTGTGAAAAAATTACTCTCATTCTTTCAACCAGGGTCCGCTTTTATGCATTTGTGCAAATAGGGTCCGTTATTGCAAAAAAAAAATTTTTTCAAGGAGTTTTTAAATTGTAAAGACATACAAGATTATGCTNAAACGTTAATGAAAGCATTTAATAAAACTTAGTACCTTACTTTTAAAAAAAAGTGGCGCTATAAACAGTCACAAAAAAATTGAAATATCCAGATAAGTGAAACAATGTTCGTTCACTAATTATAATTTTATTACTGTAAGCGAAACAATGTCAAAGCTCATAAATTCATTCTTTTTAACATACCTTGTCACATCCCATAGGCAACTATTGAGTAACACTACATCAGGCATATTCTGTGGATCATTTGACAAATCATTCAGAATTTTTTTGGCGTATTTATCGTAAACTCGAGTCAGGAAATAAAAAGAAAGTGTAGTATCTTCATGATATCTTTTTCTTTCTTCTCTATATTCCCGACCATTATATTTTAGAGTTCCAGACACCAATCTATCACCAAAACAGGAAGTTTCTCCCTAAAATGTATATTAGAAATAAAATGTATGTTAGAAATGATAGTTTTAGAATATTTGTCATGTAGAATATAGTTGAAAATGAATGAAATGAAGTCGAAAAAATATAGAGGATAAGGGTTCGCAAATTAATATTTTAGCGACGACGATCGATAAAATCTATCATAATCTGATGAATCACTATTGAAGAAAGCGGGGAGAATAATATCAAAAACAATAACTATCGTTATTATTTCCACTGGTATTTTTTTTTTATATTTTCAGTTCTACTTTCCTCACTAGTTATTTGATAGTTTTCGCCAGCGTTTTTGTTTTTCAACAGCTTGAATGTTAATTCTTTACTTTAGACAAGGCTCCTCAAAAAATATATTAAAGACGGTGATGAACTTGTACGTAAAAGTAGTAGCACCTTGTTTTTAAACAGTACTTTACAGTATATAAACAGATAAAAAAATATTATTATAAAATTGCTAAATAATTGTATTCGTTGCAGAAAAATAAATGATAAAAAAGAAGGAAAAAATTTATAAAAAGAAATTGGGAAATTCTTGTCATAATTGTGAAAGATATCGAAATTTTATAGAAACTGTTCTAATTAAGACATTTAGAAAAATTAGAAATTAGAAGCAACTGTATGGATTAACTGACAAGGGAAAATAGTGCGATTAATTTTAAAAAGAAAAAAAAACAATTTTAGTTCTCTTTCTTAAATAAACCTAAGTTTAATCCACTCTCTTAGTAAATAAAATCAATTAACTACAAAATATTTTATTAATTTACAGTAAGTAATCGAAGAAAAAACATTAAAAGTAGTTCACTTATTCATTCATTAACTGACTCAGTCATCTAAATTATGTCTAGTTCAAAAATTCAAACTCCTTTTAGAGGAGAGCTTTTGGGGTGAAAATTAGGGCATTTTATCTGTTTAAAGCAATAATCTATCTGCAATCTTGCATTGCAATCGGCAATTTTGCCACTGATTTCAATGCGAAACAGCTTGTGATGCAAAAAAACATATTGAAATTTATAAAATACTAAAGCAAACAGTCAAAGAAATAATCAATGTCAACAAACAAGTGATTGGTTAAAAATTTATTTAATAGAAATAAATCTTACTTTTTTCTTAAGAATACTCTGGGCAATGAGTCTATTTTTGTCCAACAAGCAAAGTATATCTTTATATAAAGCTCTTATATCTAAACATAAGAAACATATTGAATAAGAAAAAATTTGCGATAGACGTAAGCAAAGAAATTAGAATTTTGATAGCAATAATATATTCATATTAAATAGGCTAAAATAGTCTGTAACTAAATTAAATGTACATGATTAGATGGATGTTTAATTTAAAGATACGAGTATCAAATGCAGTACACCAAAATGTATAATTCAATGACACAAATAACGAATGCAGAACACCAAACTGTTTAATTTATGGCACAAGTAACGAATGCAGAACACCAAACTGTTTAATTTCTCTACTATCTTTAAAAAATTGAAAAAAGTTCACTCCAAAGAACGTATTATACTGAAAAATTGAAAAGTTATATTACATACTTTTAGATCTATATTTCTTAAAACACTATATCAAGCAATAAACAAAGTTTAAAACATAAGTACACTTACTAGAATCTCCCATAAAGACAATATTTTTATTTTTGAGTAACTTCTTAACATCTTTCTGAAGAAATATGTCAATCATGTTAAAAGTATTGGCTGATGAAAATCTGAAATAATTAAAAAAATAATTACTAAAATCCAAAAAATAAAACTTTAGAAAATAAAACTTTCAAAGTAAAAACTTTCAAACAAAGTGCATTGGATATAACTATTCGAATATAATTATATTTAATAAAAATTTGATTTCTTCTTTTTTACTAAATAAAAACAATTTATCGGTATAAATTGTTTGAAATTGTTTTTCTTTTCTAACAATAGTTCTTTTGGTTCTGCTAACATTCATGAAGATTTAAAAAACGTGATTTGTTTTTAATCGAACATAGAACGATTTTTTTTATTCAATTTTAATAATTGACACATTATGACAGTATTTAAAAAAAGAAGTTTGAAGGCATCATTACTAGTTAAGACTTAACGTGATTCGATCTATATTACGTTTCTTTTTCAACTATTAAAATTGAAACAAAAAAGATGTTTTTATTAAGATGAAGCATATATTTTACTATACTTTTAAAGAATTTAAAAATACAAAATTAAGCATAGGAAGAAATACAAAACTTACCCATAGAAAAAAGTTTTTAAGTAAAAGCATCAAACTCAAAATTCATTTCATGAGGAATACCCACTGTGAATTCCATATACTTCGTGGCAACTTGGTAGTATTTTGGAAGCTTTATGAGTCTGCCTGCCCTAGCGATCCCACCGTTCCACCTAACGCTCTGTAGCTTGGAGGTGGCGGGTTCGAATCCCGCTGTAACACTATTTGCATCTTCGTGATGTCCTTCTCTAACTTGCGCTATCTATTCTTCAACTTGATGAGGTAAACTTTGTAATAATCATACGAGCCTGCATATGTGGGAGTATCAATGGAGCTTCCCTAGCCGAGGGATCTCACCCACCAGGCACTCTGTGACTTGAAAGGTGCTGGGCTTGAATCCCACCGTATCCCTTGATGCCCCTTCCTCATGTCCTTCTCTAACTTGCGTTTGAGAACTTGACAAGAACTCGGCTAACGTCAACTTGACAAGGGCTTACAAAACGTACTTTGTAATGCGTACATATCCCGCAGAGGACAGATCATAAAGGCACGTTCCCCAGTAGAACACCGAAGTCAAGTATCACTAGGTGCGGTCAGTAAGCAGGTAGGTGACCGCTTTGATCAGCCTGTGTAGGGACCAAGGATGAGCGGTATCAGTTCTCGCTAAACTGTTCTATTGTAAAGTGCTCGACTGCGCGCAGATCGTCTGGCTACTACAGCGGAGGTGCCATCCCCTCTGGAAAGAATCAAAAATTGTGATTGTTCTTCGAATCTTCCTCAGGGATGTTTACCAGACCGTCGCTAAAAGCCCATTGTGCAGCTCTGGTGCGACGTAAATAAACTACCTACCTAATATGCACATTAGCCTGTATAAGGTGTAATAATAAATAAGTGTAGCTGGTGGGTGGCCACTTGGATCTGTCTGCGTAGGGACCAAGGGCGTGCGGTATTGGTCCTCGTTTAACTGTTCTACCGTAAAGTGCTCGACTTTACATGCAGGTTGTCGGGCTACCAGAGCGGAGGTGCCATTCCCTCTGGAAAGGATCAAAATTGTGATGGCATGTCTTCGGATCATCCTCGGGGATGTTTCCCAGACCGTCGCCAATAGCCCATTGTGCAGATTTAGTGTGACGTAAATGAACAATAATAATAAATAAGCGCAACAATAAAATAAATTAATAAATCGAAGCTTTTGTGTGATGTTGCACTAAAGAATTATAGTACTTTGATTTTTAGAAAATTTTTGATTGAAAATCGGAATTACGAGATGAAACTTTGCATGAAATTGAAAATTATTAATTTTCAAGTCCATTAAATGTTTTATTGTGGATGGATATCTAATAAAGCAAGTTTTTTATGTATGTTTCATATAGTTTGAAATGATGGCATATTCGACATTAATTTAATTATTTGGACAACAACAAGAAAAATCAAAACCCGAAGCTGCCGCTAGTCCTGATTTGTACCCCAAAACAGCACCGGTGGACTTCAGTGCTCGGACACACTAATAGGTCCTACTCAAGTAAAAATACAACGTTAACCTGAAAGACATTTTAAAGCAGGCTTGATATGGCAACTCAAAGAGGGGAAAATAAGATGCACCACTCCACCTTTAAAAACGTATATAAAATTGAAAACGATCTTGCCTTCACCTATAGTTGCTGCTATCTTGTGGCAATGATGAAAATAAAAAAAATTTCACTATTCCTTTCAAGAATAAAATGCGTAGAACTCGTTTTTTATGCTGCTCACAAGTCATTGAATTTTACCTTTCTTCATGGAAGATGATAGGAAAGAGGGCCCACTTTATAGAAAAGAAAATTTTATAGTCTATAGTAAATCGATATCTTTGATTTCAATAAGTTAAAAGCTCTATGAAAACTGCAGTAACTGGTACCGCCATCTTCTTCTTCTTAGGCACTACAGCCGGTTACCGGCCAAGGTCGTCTCAGTCAGTTTACCCCATCTAGATCTATTCGATGCTATATTTCTCCATCTATTAACTCCCATGTCCTATGAGTATTTCTCTATCTAATTATCTTGTTCTAGGTCTTCCTCTGTTTCTCTCTGGTTTTAGAAGGTTATTTTTCGAAGGTTTTAATCGTAATAACGACTCTACCGTGGTGTGCTGCAAAATTTCGCTTTAAGTAATACCATTAATGATGATTATATAAATTTTGCTCTTTTGATAACGTCAACAGTAATAATTTTTTGTGTAACACCTTCTGTGTATATAAACATAATATTGCAAGCTATTTACTTTAAAGTTATTTTTAGAACTGTGAAAAAATATTTTGTCCATTGCAAACATATTGTTCAGATATATTACACAAGTTTAATATTCTTTTGAATATTTCAATTTGTTTTCAAAAAATGAATAAATAAATTGTCATACAATTTAATATTTGGTGGAGAAGTTGTAAATTAGGAACTGAGTGAATGTGTAAAAAATAGAAGAGAAATTTATTTATTAGCTAACTCGAAACAATGAATGATAAGGCTTCAGTTTTTATTTCATTCCTTTTTTATTGTCGAAGCTTGGTTGCTAAGTAATGAATATTCGTTAAGTATTTCTCTCTTGTCGATCACTCACTTATGGTTATGATTGTCTTAATCTTAAATTACTCCTTCTGTGCTACGGCAAAAGTACTTGGCCTTTTTTTCGGGGGGGGGGGGNGGTGACTACGCCAAATATATATAGCTTCCTTGCATCCCAATTTTTTCGATATTTTGAGGGTCAGTAATCGAAACATGTTTAAAAAAAATCGTGTTTTATTCAGAGTACGTTTTTCGTCTGGTTTCGTAACTTAATTAATGGCTAGGACTAACTAATTAGTATATCTAAAGTCACCCTCTGGTACCATTAAGATTGACATTTAGTTAATCCGACCATTAGAATGAAAGTTATTGAAGGTGATATCTTTTGTTATTTTGAGCACTGTACATTATATGATAATGAATAAAACAATAGTAATACCTTAAGCTATAAGAAACAGAAGAAAATCTATTTGATGCTTTTAAAATATGTACAACATTAACTTAATATAACATTAAGTAAACATCGCATATTAAATTAAGTTAATTAATTTTCAAAACAACTGAGATTACTTCTTAAAGACACTTACATGAAACTAAGAAACGTTACAAATTATGTACTTCACAAAGAGAAAAAGAAAGAGAGATACATAGCCAAATTTATTTTTTTTAAAGGCAACTTAGATTTAAAACTAAAGAGCTATTTTTAATTACAAACAATATCATGCTGATGCAAGCTCTCCAGTTATAGCCTGACAGATTTTAAATGTCAACATAAAAATTTTCAAAGATATGTTTTGGCGAAGGCTGAACTTGATTGCAACCGTCTTTATACAGGCTTGCTCATTACTTGAACTTAAATCTCTTATCACATCTCAATTCTAATGTTCTAGATAACTTAACCTTTACGTTACATAACATAGCTGTAAATCTATAAATAATAATATGCATATGGGGGGCTAAGAATAAACTGTTAATTTATGATTTCAAAACGCTATGCAAACTCGAATTTAAAAGAAAAAGATGGATATTTCCCGAAATTGTTTCCATCACTTCTTACGCAATTCAACGCCGATTTAGGGTAGCCATTTTCCATTCTATGATTTTCCAAAAATAACAAAGGCTACATGTTTTAATTTGGAAACAATACGCCACCCAAAAAAATCAATCTATTATTCACAAACTTTTTGAAAATAGATCCTAACTACCACCATCAAAGAGAAGAATGTTAATACTATTCTTCAAAAGGAATTCAAGATGTTTCACTTATGCTGTTAATAAGAATTTATTTGAGACTTTTTTTTAAGTCACACGACTCATTGTCAATGAAAGCACTTAATTTTGTTGTTGTAGCTAATTTACGTCGCACTTGAGCTGCAGAATGTGCTATTGGCGACGGTCGAGGAAACATCCCTGAGGATGATCCGAAGACATGCCATCACAATTTTGATCCTCTGCAGAGGGGATGGCACCCCCCGCTTCGGTAGCCCGATGACCTGCACTCGAATTCGAGCACTTTACGATAGAACAGTTTAACGAGGACCAATACCGCATCCCTCGGTCACTACGTAGACTAATCCAAGTGGTCACCCACCCGCACACTGACCGCAGCCAGTGATGCTTGTCTTAACGATCAGTCCACTGCGGGACCATTTAATTTCGAAGGCATGGAGACGTTAGAATTTTATTCACTGCAAAAACACGGCAAGTAAAAGGAATATTGTGAAAAAATTTTAAAAATAGCGGCAAAAAAAACCAAAAAAAAAAAAAGTTTTGCATTCTTAGCTCATTCTTTAGCATATCACAAAGTTACGACGACATTGTTTCAAACTATTTGGGAAATGAGATATAGTCTGCCTGTTTAAAGCACTCCCCTCTGGAGGGACGGTGACTATGGTTACCAAGTTTAATAATTTCAAGAAGGGGTAAAGGAAGGATCATTTCAAGAAGGGGGCTTCGGGTTCAATCATTTCTCAATATTTACGAGAGAACGAAAGGCAAGCTAAATCTGTCGAGTCACAAAGTCCTCCATGTTCCCATAACAAATCATACCTCTGGGGGTCTTCCTTGTCTTCTGTTCCTTGTCTTCTGTTTTGGTTCAAAATTACAAGGCTACGGAGTTGAATATTAGTAGTCGTAAACCCAAAGCTGGATCGGCTGCAGGAAAAACTTTTCCTTGGATTAAGAGAGGGGCACACTGCACATATTTGTTATGATGCAACCCACCGTTTAGAATGTTTAATACACAAATTCCAGGCATGGTGTGAACCATAAGAAATAATTCTTAAATGAAATAAATTCAATTCTTAAGCGTCAAAATGCGGAATATTTAGTTGATACTGATTACTTAGTTATTAGTTGATACTGATTACTAATTTGATAATTTCTTACAATCATCGTTAATTTTAAATCTTTGTAAATAAATAAAGCTCCAAAGAAGAAATTTTTTTATTTCATTAATTATAAGCTGTAATTTAATAATTAAACTAATATATTTAACATAAAAATTATAAAAAATTTAATAAATATGTATTTAGTAAAAATATGCATTTTATAAAACATAAAATGATTTTCTTTCATTTTTTTAATGTTAATAAGTGTGCTTTGTTCATTTACATTCTTCACAAAAAATTAATTAAATGGATAAAAGTATATCTTCAAAATAATGATGTATCTCTACTAAAGACAAAGAAGATTTGAAACGAGGTACTTCATAATCGAAACGTAA